CTTTTAATTGATTAAATGCTTATAAGACACTTCATCATAGAAGTGATTGCATCAATATAAAAGATCTAATCAGGTGGATGGTTACATCATATAAGCTCAACATGTAACACACTATACCACCAGAGCTCTTTAGTGAAGAAAATATTATAAATGTATAGAGAGAAAAAGAGAGAGATCATGTACTTACAGGAGCTAGCAAGTCTCAGGTATATGGTTCACACAGCCCAGGAAAAAGGATTCTCCAGATTCACATAGCTGTAGAGGCTGATGAATCCAAGGTAAGCAGGTAAGACAGCAGATTGCTGGCTTTGGAGACTCATGAAACCAAGGTTCGCAAGCAAGGCACGCAGCTGGTTTAAGTTGAAAGAATTAGAGACAGTCAGATGTTGTTGTTGATTGCCTTCAAGTCAAGCACGACTCATAGCAACCCTATGAAAAAAGGCCTGAAGCCCCTTTACAACCTTTGACATTTATCAAAGTTCATAGACTTTCCAGAGGCATGTTATTTAGGAAGTGGATGGTCCTGCTTCCAAACCTGTCATAGTATGTTATCATTGTTTATGTGCCATTGAGTCACCTGCAATCTATAGCGACCCTATGTACCGCAGCTCTGAACCCTTCCCTGTCCTGAGTCAGTCTCCCTAATTCCAAGACACCAACTCCCATTGCCCCAATTCCTGTATCAATACATCTTATCCGGGGTCTCCCTCTCCTGCGCTGTCAGTCAACCCTTCCGAGCATGATGTCCTTCTCCAAGGACCGATCTCTCCTGGCCATTTGCCTAAAGTACGTGAGGCAAAGCTTCAAAATCCTAGCCTCCAAGGAAAGACTTGGTTTCACTCTCTCCAACACAGACGTACTTGTTTTCTTGGCAGTTCATGGTATGTTCAACACTCTTCTCCAGCACCACAACTCGACAGCATCTATTCTGTCATCCTTAGTCATTGTCCAACTATCTGAAGCATAACAAATTATTGAGAAAACCATGGCCTGGATTAGACGTACTTTTGTATCCAGACAGACATGCTCGCCAGCAAGCACGAGAGAGACATCAAAGAAAACAGACCCAACCAAAGCAATCCATCGATTGACTGCCTGCCGGCAGGAAGAGAGTGGAGAGTGGAAAAAAAAAATTAAGTGTTGACTGTATACTGCATTGAAATAGAGGTGGAAGAGAATTGTTTAAAAGGGATATGTGATTAGGAATTTTTGTCATGACAGGAGTCCAGATCGAAGGCTGCATAGTGGAGTGGACTTGGGGTGAGGGATTATATAACAATGAAAGAATTTTTCTTTCACTTTTCAAAGAGAAGAATAAACTGAACTGGGGGAGGGGTGGATAGGGAGTAAAGTGAAACAATGAATGAATGGAAATCCAAAGTCTCTGTAAACTTTCATTAAAATTAATTAAAAAAGAGTGTTGACTGTGGATCTGAGCAAGTTGTGATGATCCGTCTTACTAAGGGTCTCGGTATTTTTTAATGACCTTCTACTTTCCCCAGAATGAGACTTTTTCCCAAGAACTGGCCACCTCCTCACAACAAGCTCAAAGTTTGTGAGACAAAGTTTCACCCTCCTTGCCTCTAAGGAGCACTGTGGTTGCACTTCCTCCAAGAAAAAATTTGTTTGTTCTTTTGGCAGTCCATTGGATATTCAATACTCTCTCTTTGCCAACACAATTCAAAGGTTCTTTGTTCTTTGTTCTTTCTTACTCATTGCTCAACTTTCCCATGCATATGAAGCAACTGAAAAGATCATGGCTTCATCAGATACACTTTAATCTTTAAACTGACATTTTCCCCTTTAATGCTTTATAGAGGTTGTTGACAGATGATTCCCCCGATGCAACTTAGCCCTACATTAAATCTCACTGACAAAAAGCGAATTACCAGTTACTAACCAAAGCGCTGGAAAATCAGCACCATGGACAGAGGAATATCCTGGAAAAGGTTATTAAACTGAAGCTGATAGTAAAATGTCAGCTATGATACCAGATGTGCTAACAAGGAAAGACTGATATTTCTGTGGGACTCTTGGGAACAGAATCTCTTTAAAACTGGAGAAACACAGAGGATGAGAAAATAACTATATCCTCCAAGATGTCTCTGAATACATCACCTACTTTGTTTGTCTTAGTCAATGCCAAACTGCCAGAGAGGCTCAGCCTTTGAGTTTGCAGAACAACTCTCAATGGACTATGCCTACAGATACTCCCTTATTGCACTGAGTGAGGTCTGGGGGGTCTGTAGGAATTCTTATGGGCAACATCCATCTGTGAGACTAAGGGCCTCAGAAAAATGGAGGTCAGCTATTAGTTAGTTCTGACTCAGCAGGAATGAGAATTATTCAACTATCTGCTCTTCTGTTCTCAAAGCACCAACATTTTCATACTGAATGAAATATAGTTGATTCACAAATAGAAATTTTCTCTTCCTCTGCCCAGTATTCACACACTTTGTTTTCCCTTCACAAATACCCCTCAAATAAATATGCTGTTTTTAAAGGACAATAGTGAAGAATTGTTGATGTGTATGAGTCCCTGGGTGGGGAAAATGTGCAAGCACTCAGCTGTAGACTGAAAGGTTAGCAGTTTTAATCCATCCAGATGATGATCCCTGGGAGAAAGCCCCAGAAAAGGCCCAGCCTTGAAAACTCTTCCGAGCAGAATCTTAACTCTGCAACACAGTGGAGTGAGCTGGACTCAACAGCAGTTGGTATGTTTTAAAAGCAGGTAGCTGGATAGGTATGTTCTTGAAAGGCCACCAAAAATTAACAGTAATTCCAGAAGCTTTTCATGATCCGACACTGAGGAGATAATGAAAACAAAGCCCTCGTGCCCTCCATAACAAGAGAAGACTCCACATAGAGGCTCAAGATTTTGTTTTGCTTCATATCATGCGATGGAATAGCCAGTTCAGATACCCAGGGACAATTTCTGTCTCATTCTCTCTCTCTCCTTTTTGGTTTTTCCTGGAGTAAGACGTCTCAGGAGAATTTCTAAGAGCTGAGCCTCTTCTTACATGTTCCTTGTCAAGAAGCAGAAGGGGTAGCACAAATCTACAGGAGCTGGGGCTGAAAGAAGAGATGGGCTGCCTTGTTGCAGTGGTGGAGCCAAGAGAAACGCAATCATGTTCTAGGTCAGAAACAAATAATAGCAACAAAAATATAGCTAAACATGTTGTTATGTGCCGTCAGGTCGCCTGCGGCTCATAGCGATCCTACCACCCTAAACCCTGCTCTACCCTGTGCCAATCCGTTATCCCAGTCGCTGAATCAATCCATTTCATGAGCTAAATAAGTACTGAGCTCTGGTGGTCTAGGGGCAAGAAGCTGAGCTGCCTTCCGAAGGTATGCAGTTCGAGGCCACGAGCTTCTCCGTGGGAGAAGGGTGGCCAATCTCCTCCTTTGTGATTAACTGCCTCTGAAAACCCGAGAGAAGGTCAGCTATGGGTCAGCTCCTACTCGACAGTACACAACAACAATGAACGAAAATAATGTGAAGCAGATTGTTAAGCTATTTGATTCTATCTAGAGGCTTCACTTAACTCTTAGCAGCCCTATTAGCAGCTTCCAAGGATGTCACTTTGTGTTAAGGTGCACCTGCCTTAAGCCATGGTATTTTCAATCGTCTCATATGCATGTGAAAACTGAACAATAAGTAAGACGGCATAACTGATGCAGTGCAGGAACAATGCTTCTTAGAGGCCATGATGGTGAAGATATGTCTCACATTCATCTGGGTATGTTATCAGGAAAGGCCAATGCCTAGAACAGAAACACTTGGCAAAGAAGGTCAGCAAAAAGCGAAAAGACCCTCAATGACAAGTGACACAGCGGCTAAAACAATAGCACATTCAAGACCGCGATCCTTGCGCTTTACAGACCCCAACCCCACGCCCCCTGCAAAGGAGTCCCTGCATCCCTATGCTCTTCTTTCGCTACAGATAATCCTTTGCTTTTTCTCTCCGCAGTGCTCCTCCGCCTCAGACGAACTCCCCCTTCCAAGAATTCTCAGTTAAGGAAGGACCCCTCCCTACCAACCATCTTTGGGGGACTGTTCCCAGTGTTTCTGATTAAATGTCTATCTGGCTCCCGCGATGTCCTTCCGCCCTCGGGGAGTAACTCTCGCTCCCCCTGCACATCCGCAAGCCCCTCGGCGGCAAGTCACTACGCCCGCGCGTTCTCGCGAGACCACGCAGCGCACCCACCCTCCCGCGAGGTACCTCCTCACCCCGCCCACCCCGGGGCACACAGACGAGGAAAGCGCATGCGCGGCCGCAGTTCCCAGCTTACCCCCCACCCCCGCCCCCCCTGTGCGCTCCTGCGGACGGCGCGGACGTGGCGCCCACCGCCCCCTCCTGCGAGGCTGCAATTTGTCCCCCGCGGCGTCTCGGCTTACAGAGGGGATTGCTTTGTGCCCTTGTCCAGCCTTCGGAGGCCTCCTGTGGACGGCCAGGGCATCGCGGGCCCCGAAAGAGCCGAGCACCAATCTCAGACACGTTGGCCGCCGGGTGTCCACTCGCAGTGTCCTGGGCACACCCCGCTGCCCCCTCCGAGCTCTGCACCCATGGCCAGCTGGGGCCTGAACATCCGACCCCACCCACCAGCGGCCTAGCCTCCCAGGAGCTGAAAACCTCGGAGTAGCTGGCACACCCCCCCTCGGGCCGGGCTGTGCCCCACCCCCTCCACTTTTCTTCCATCTCCTACATTTCTTTCCCTGTCTCGGTTGTCGCTGTGGCTGACACTGCACTACAAAAGAGATGCACCCTGGAAAAATCATATTGCTGGCACCTATCTGGTCTGGAAAAAGAGTCCAGGTCTGGCGTCCTTATCAAAAGCCTAGAGTAGATTGAATCAATTAGCTGAGTGTCCCCGATTACTGCTGTCAGGTGTCGGTTTAACAGCTTTGACATCCCAGAGCATTAAGCTGAGAGCTCTTGGAGGTTTATGCGTGGGCCTCTGCTTTGAGCCAGACGTGACGTTGAAGCGGTGGTTGGAGCATGGCTGCAGCACTGCACCCTCAGGGCGAAGCGCCCCTGGAGGTGGAGGGGTGCCTCATCATGAAAATGGGAAAGAACCCCGAGTGGACATCGGAGTGCACTGTGGAAGGATCAGATAGCTCTGAGTCCGAGACCTTTCGCAGATGCTTCAGGCAATTCAGTTATGAGGATGTGACCGGACCTCATGAAGCTTTCAGTAAACTCTGGGAACTTTGCTGCCAGTGGCTGAAGCCAGAAATGCGTTCCAAGGAGCAGATCCTTGAGCTGCTGGTGATTGAGCAGTTTCTTACCATTTTACCGGCGAAGATTCAGGCGTGGGCACAGAAGCAGTGCCCGGAAAGTGGAGAGGAGGCAGTAGCCCTGGTGGTCCATTTGGAGAAAAAGACCGGCAGACTAAGACAGCAGGTGAGAGAGGTTTTCCTGAATGTTTGTGTTTAGAAGTGGGAAAAGCAGATGGGCAAGGAAGCATTGCAGGAAGTGGCCGAGAGGGAGTGAGAAATGGTTCTGATAAAAGACCTTTAAAGTGAATCCGGTTAAAATGGGGGTCAAAATTGCACATTGAATGGTAAGAAAGGTGGTTTGGTTGAAACATTACTTTGCAAATGAAAGGAAATACTTGACATTTAATGTTTGTTTTACATCTTTGGCATGTTTCTGACAGTTATGTTTAAAAAGGTTTGACTTCGGCAATTTGATCTTAAAGAGGACTATTTTGCTTTCCCTTTAAATAATTTTAAGAAAAAAAGAAGAGCAGGGATGGGATGGGCTTATGTCAGGTCTTTCTGGAACCTTGTGTTCTAATCAACGTGCCTTTTGAAGTCTCTGTCAGCGTCGTCACCATCAGGTCCTCATTTGCTCATGGCTGTACGTGTTCTCTTACTTGTTTTTCTATATCCCTTCCATTAACCTCACAGAATCTTGCATCATTCACTGAATTTGCAGGGTCTCACCCAGCACAGGATTTGCGTTAATGTAAGATGGTCGGTCAGGGATGAACACTCTGTACCTGAAGTGGGAATTCATTGTATACATTTTTGTTCGCTGGTGCATATGTTCATGCTCTGGTGACTTTTGCTCTTCTGTGACTGAATAGATGTGGCGTTTGGAATAATGTCTACTCTGGTAACAAGAAGATTTTCAGTCTCCACTCTTGACAGATTTTTCTCTCACTAAAATAAATTGCGTATTTATCCTCTATTAAGAAAATGTGCGCTTTCCCCCTCCTGACCAAACCCCTGGGAAGTCCTCATCCTCTCTTATCCTTGGAGATCTTTCTTGAGGAATCTGGCCCTGATCTCGACTTCTTTTCTTCTCTTTCCATTATGGTGTTGGACTTACTTCCCAGGTGAGCAGTCCTGTGCACTGCAAGAATCCGTCCTCGCTCAGAGCATCATGGGAGGTAGCAGACCTGCCGGAACAGGTGGACACTCAGCTCAGGGTGGTGTCCCTGGAGGAAGCTGGAAACCTCCACTCAGGACACCAGGAGCAGCAGAACCATAGGAGAGAGCATCGACCCTTTCCCAAAAATGGTAAGAGGAACGCAGAGCATGCCCAGTACAGAAACCAAGGCAGATTGATGTGATATGCTCATAGGAGGGTACTCTCAATGCGTATTTGAAAACCCACATTGAATGTTTGCATAGAAAGATCCATGTGGCATTAAGAGTTGAGGAATGCACAATGTAAAAGAAAGGGGACCTAAAGGATGGGAAATCGTAAGGATTTTTCAGGCTAATTAACCTTGAAGTCCTGTAGAAGAGTTTTATGTACTATTAGCTTGTATCTTTAGGCTTGTTATAAGTGTTTAGTTTTGTGTTCTTCACTAGCTTAACTGTTGGAAAGATAGACAAGACAGCATTTTTAAAAAGTGACTCACAAAGTGGAACTTTACAGAAGTTGTTGTTAAGTACCATTGAGTCAGAACCGACCCATAGCTGACCCTTGGGCAGGTTTTCAGAGGCAGCTAGTCACAGGGGAGGAGATTCCTTATCCCCCGGAGCAGCTGGTGGCCTCGAACTGCTGTAGGCAGCTTCTTGCCACTGGGCCACTAGAGCTCCCTTCACAGAAGTAACCGATAGAAAAATGAACAAGAAGACTTCCCCGAGATTGGACCACCGATGGTCATAGTTTCCCTCAGCAGTAATGAAGCAAATCAAACACAAAGGGTAAAATGCCAGTCCTTTGTTACTGTTTTGTCCCTGGAGAAGTGATGTCAGGAACAGAAAGATCATTATACCTGCACTCAAAAGCCTCTAGTTTGTCTTCTCTCTGCCTTTGTCTGGCAGTGTGATCTTGGACCAGTAATAGAAAAAGAGACTTCAGTGTGTGTAGGGTAAGCGCTACAGCTTTGATGTAGACCAGTTGGGCTCAAAACCTACTTCTGCCATTTTTTATCTGCATAGCTTTTCTGAGATTACATATTATAAATGGGGGGGTGTTAAAAATGTAAAAGGAGGGTATAATAAGGTTGTTAGTGCAAAGTGACTGAGGCAGCAACAAAGAGCCAATGTATGATATTAAAACAAATAAGCAAAAGACTTAAGAAAAACCAAGGGGAGCTCTGGTGGCCTAGTGGTAAGGAGATGCAACTACAATCGCAGAGGTGCACGGTTCGAATCCACCAGATGCTCTGCCGGGGAAAGAGGGTCAATCTCCTCCTGTACCAGTCAGATCTGATTTGACGGTACACTCACACACAAAAAAATAACAAAACAATAACAAAACAAAAAAAAAAGACTTAAGAAAAACCAGAATATGTTGCATCAGGTTGATTCTGACTCATAACAATCTTATAGGACAAAGTGGAATTGTCTCATTTTCTAAGGTTGTAAATCGTTACCGAAGCAGAACATCCCCTTTTGTGAGAAACCGAACAGTTAACCGCTTACTACTGGGGCTCTCAGAGTCTGTAACACTGCTCAGTGAATGTCCATTTGCTCTCTTCTCAGATGGCAAAATGACTTTTAAATGTCAAACATAATACAACTTATTACTGAGGAACAAGATTGACTACTACTGTCTGCTACCGTTCCATCTACCCTCGAATCACATGAATGCATTGCATGTATTGATGGTTTCTGAATTAAACTGGTGTACATTCATCAGCAGTAAGACTCCTTTATTTGCGTGGTTTAGGTATCCTCAGGTACTTTACTGATAAACTGGTTAGGGGCTATCAGGTCAACTGCAACTTATAACAACTCAGTGAACAACAGACCAAAACTTTGACCTATCCTGTGCCAGTAACAATCTCTGTTGTGCAGAACAGATCATCTGGGAGGTTGGACTTTATGACAAGGAATGTGGCATCAGGATTGGAGGAAGATTTATTAACAGCCAGCTTTATCCAAATGACAAAACCTGCCTTGCCAAAACTGAGGAGGACTTGAAACATTTTCTGCAGAAGGTAAAGAACTGCGGTCTTCAATATGGATTGAAGCTCAATATCAAGAAAACAAAGATTCTCACTCTTAGGCCAACTGGCAGTGGATGGAGAAGAGATTGAGAATGTCAACAGTTTTCAGCTTGCTCGGTTCCATAGTCAACACTTTTTGGCACTAGCAGTTAAGAAATCAAAAGACATTAGAAAAAAAGCACAAACAGGTCTATCCTGGAGAGGGTGAAACCAAGATGTTCCTTGGAGGAAAGGATTATGAAGCTCCATCTCACATGCTTTTGCCAGGAGTGACCAGTCCCTGGAGGAGAACATCATGCTTGTAAAGGTGGAGGGACAGCCCAGGAGATGATGGTCCTGGATGAAATGAATTGACACAGTAACTGGGATGATAGGGTAGGTGTGTTGGAGACAGATTGGCTTGGGATAGGGCAGGGTATGGAGCTATTGTGCATAGAGTTGTTATGCATTGTAGTTGACTTGAATATACATAACAGCAACAAAAAGTCTATTATTTCAATCATCACATTGTCTATCTTGTTAAAGGTCTTCTTCATTTTCACCGGTCCTCTACTTTTCCAAGCAAGATATCCTTTTCCAAGGACTGGCCTGTACTAATAACAACTGATGACATATCCAAAATACATGAGATTAAAGTCTCACCATCCTCGCCTCTACGAAACAGTCTGGTTACACTTTTTCCATGCGATACTTGAAGTGCTCTTTGCCAACCCCATGATCCAAAGGCATTACTTCTTCTTCAGTCTTCCTGTTTGTTGTCCAGTATGCACAAGAAGCAATTGAAAATACCATGGCTTGGATCAGGCTCACATTAATCTTTGAGCTGAAATAGTTGCTCTTTTGCACTTCAAAAAATTAAATTCTTCTGTAACCTGTACATAAACCATGGATTAGTTGTTTGAATTTGAACAAAGAGATGCTGCATGGTTTAAAAGCAGCAAAGATGTGTGACTGGGTTGTGTCCTTTTCCTGTACCTTTTCAAAACTGTTTGCTGAGCAAATCATTTGAGAAGCTGGGCAGTATGAAGAAGAATGTGGCATCAGACTTGGAGGGAGACTCATCAACAGTCTTTGTTACACAAATGGCACAATCCTGCTTGCTGAACAGGAAGAGGACTTGAAGCAGTTCAACAGAAGAGCAAAGACCGCACTGTCCAATATGGGTTACATCTCACCATCAAGAAAACAAAAATCCTTACCAACAGGCATTATCATGATAGATGGAGAAAAACATTGAAGTTGTCAACAATTTCTTTTTACTTGAATCTACAACCAACACAGGACAATAGCAGTCAAGAAATCAAGACATACTGCAGTGGGGGGAAATCTGCTCTCAGGAACCTTTCCATAGTGCTAAAGCACAGTGATGTCAGTTTAAAGACAATCTGAGTAAATACCTGGTGGCTTTGCTGTCTCAGAGCTTTAGTGTATTCTGTTCCTAAGCAGAAAAGTGTGCTCTGCTAAAGTACTTACTGAGGGATGGAGAAGACCAAAACCTTGAGGGAATAGATATAGGTGAGCTCATCTGATAGATTAGCTCAGAAAGGCGAATTTGTCCTAAAGGAAGCCCTATGATTTGAGCCACATACAGCAATCAATATCATGTGAAGCAGTGAGCAAGTCTTGTAGTGGGGAAAGTCACAGAGCAAGCTGTTGAGTTCTTGGTCACATATTAAATTTGTATTTTAAGTTTTTCCTGGATAGTGATTTTTCAGGATAGATTTTTAGACCATAGTCGCATTATGTGTATCTATTGTTGTTGTTATTGTAGAGTTGGAACCAATCCGTAGCTGACCCTCTGGCAGGCTTTCAGAGACAGTTAATTACATGGGGAGAGATTGCCCATTCTTCTCTGGTGGAGAAGCTGGTGGCCTTGAACCGCATGCCTTCAGGATTGGAGTGCAGCTTCTTGCCACTAAGCCACCAGAACCCCAGTGTGGATAGCTAGCTAGCTAGACCGATCATTTCCCCTTCTACATTTGTTGTTAGTTGTCATCAGATTCTGATTCATGGTGGCTTATAAGTACTAAGTGGAACTAACTGTTTCCTAGGCTTTTCAAGACTACCTTTTCACAAGTGGTTCACTAGACCTGGTTTGAACCAATACTGTTTTGATTAATAGAAAGGAGCTTAACTGTTTATGATAACCAGATTATCTTTCTTCTGTTCTTACTGCTACGGAGTTAGACCCGACTCATAGCTGACCCATCAGTGGTTTTCAGAGATTATAAATGAAAATATCTTCTCAGAGCCACTCACTGGTGGATTCAAACCGGCAGAGTCTCAACTTTGGGACTAGCAGTTTTAGGTATAGACTGTGCCACCAGACCTCCCTCCTCCACTCTCAGAGGGACCGGCTTGCCTGTGGTGTCCAGGGCTGTGTATGCTAAATCTTAAGCAGTTTGCTTATCACAAACTGATAACTAACATGCCAGGTTACATTTGTTTTCTATTGCCTGTAAAGAATTTTTATCTTATAATATATTCCGTTCCTAAGGTTAAAAGGGAAGGAGGCGTGGCATCCACTTCCGTAATAGCTTGCCTCCGGAAACCCTATGAACCTGGAGAGAGGATGAAAGGCACCTAAGTGTCGAGGACTCCCCTTCATAGGGTCACTATGAGTCACCTGCGACTCGACGGCACTTAACAACAACAACAACAAGGTTAAAAGACTTTTGAGATTTCACATAACAGTCCATATTTCTGACTTCTCTTGAAAAATTTGAAGCTCTGACTATCCCTGGGCTGTAGCCTCCCATGGAAGTATCTGCTGAAATGTTGATCGGCTTTGTCTCTCCGATGGGATAGGCAGTCTCACGATTCTCACAGTCCCTCCGTGACACCTTTTGTCACATGCTTTACTTGCTTATGCCCGAGCTCTTTTGAGCTTATAAGCCCCGGCTTAGGGCATTGAACTGAACCCACTGAAAAATGATCAATTCATGTTTATTTCCATATGTTCATTTCTTAAAAGGAGAAACAACATGAATGAAAGGGCCAGAGCCTTTCTTTCTCTTCTTACAGCTCGGCCTTCTTCTTGGATGCCTGTCCCGACTGATGAATGGAACACGACAGACCAAGGCATGCCAACTACATATCTTTCTGCTGGAGCCCAGGTAAATTCTAACTCTTCTCTTTGACCTGCACTCTTTTTGAGTGTTCCGTTGTAATTTCTGTGCCTTCACTATCCTCACACATTTCCACTTCCTCCAAGGAGCTCCATTCTCCTTCCTTATTTTACTCATCTAATGATGTTTATAGAAAGGATTCGACCCAGTGTGGAAAATAATGGGATTCCTTTTTGCATCATTTATCTCATGATTGTAATATATACTTGGTTCCTTAATAGTGCCTGTTACTTAGAGCCCTTTTGTGCTTCATTCATCCTTAAAAGACTCATGCAATTATCTTGGCAGTCATTGGTATCAGTGTTGTTACAGGGACCAGTGAAAGATACCCATATGACAAAGGGTTTTCCCTACAAAAAGAGTGTACACCAGGCTCCTGCTCACAGAAACCTCTACCGGGAGATCAGGAAGGAGAGTATTGAGAACATGGTCTCGTTGGGTAAGAATTCTTTCCCTTTTCAAATAAAACCTTAGAGAATTTCCAATATGTGCATCTGTGCTGATGAAAAATAATATTATAGTACTCATTTGGAGAAGGACGTGATGCTGGAAAGGGTGGAGGGTCAGCGAAGGAGAAGAAGACTCTCAACCAGGTGGACTGACATGGTGACTGCAGCACTGGGCTCTTGTGTGTCAGGAAGTGTGAGGATGGCACAGGACAGAGCAGAGGGTTCAGATCTTTTATTCACGTGGTCGCTTTGAGTCGTACTCAACTCGACAACACCCAACAATAACAACAACATGACAGAGTCAAAGAAGTCACATAAGGGTAACTAGAACGTACATGGCCCTGATAGGGAAGAAAAGGTGTTAGGCGAGAAGTGCTGGCCTTGTCCCTAGTGAATGGCACAGCTCACCTATAGCTGCTTCCCTCTGGTGGCTTGAATATAAAAGCAGCCCCAGTAGAGAAAGATGGGCAGTCTCCTCCCCTGTGATTTCAGCCTTGGAAGCCCAGTAGAGGGTAAGCTATGAGTCAGTGCCACCTCTGTGGCAATGAGTCAAGTTGTTGGGTTTCAGAGGACCAAGGTGAACACATAGTCAGTCCAGGGGAGCAGTGTCAGAAGATGATTGGGATATGCAGTAATGACTCCTGTATCTAGCAGGAACTATGTTTCTCTTGCTATAGGAAGTACAGTATCTGCACCGAGCAGGACAGACCAATTAGAACAGAGAAAGGAGCCACGGACCATAGGTCTTCATTCATCTCATAAGAAGAATCTCCTCCAAAGCAACTATGTTAAGGAAAAATCACTTCATGCCGTTCAGGCTCCTACGAGGAATTCAGGGAAAAAATGGCCAGAGTCGCAACAGTGGGGCTTAGAAGATGAAAAAATCGCAGGCGTTCACTGGAGCTACGAAGAGACTAAGACCTTCCTCACAATTCTCAGAGAGTCCCGCTTTTATGAAACCCTTCAGGCTTGTCCCCGCAACAGCCAGGTATATGGTGCCGTGGCCGAGTGGCTGCGGGAATGCGGTTTCCTCCGGACCCCAGAGCAGTGCCGCACCAAGTTCAAAAGCCTCCAGAAGAGTTACCGTAAAGTCCGAAGTGGCCACATGCTGGAACCCTGTGCCTTCTTCGAGGACATGGATGCCTTGTTGAATCCTGCAGCCTACCCTTCGTCCACTGACAAAGCGACGGGGACGCGCCCTCTCCCCAGACTGAAGAGGATTGTCATCAGTAATAAAGAACAGATCCGTTTGCTGGACGAAGAGGAAGCGGCAGGAGAATCCGACGGTGACGAACTAGGCATTGAAGTAATCCCGAAATCTGAGATTCGTGGTGCCCCGGTTTTGTTTCAAAACCTGAGTGGTAAGATTTGTACTTTGCTTTTGTAATTTCTTTTTCTTTCCCGCGTATAATTCATTCTGTATGGAAAAAGGGGTAGACAAGGAGTGGCCACACCTGGGGAGGGCATTGCCGGCCATCACTATTACATGGCTGTGAATCACAGGCTGGGTGGCAGTGCTGGTTTCTGTCCTTGTTTTATTTTCGCTTTATAGCTGAGCATGAATTTTGAGTACTTGGGACCTGTCAAAGGAAAATAAATGAAGCTAAATGGTTTTACAGAGGTACTGTTATCTGAGAATTTATATAAAACTGTCAGTTGCATTCGATTGTAAAAAGGCAAGGATGTATTAATACATACTATGTGATAATCAGTAAAAGTGTATATAATTAAAAAGTTTGAAAAAATTTTAATGAAATAATTTCTGATTTAATGAAGATAAGCAGAAAAAAAGGGAGAGCATAAAATAAGTCAAATGGGAAGCAAATAACAGCATGGTAGATGTAAATCCAAATATATCATCAGCTGTAAACTTAAAACACAAAGATTACCAGGGAGTTAAAAAAGAAAACTTGGTTCCTTACCAAAAGTGCACCTTAAATATAACAAAATGAGACTAAGAGTTAATGTGTTATGACAGTAAATACAGCCTGTAACCATTTTAAGCTTCAATTTTCTCATCTGTAAAATAAGACTAAGAACCTCCCACAAAGTTGTAAGTATTAAGTGGGATAGTACACATGAAACTATTTTGCAAATGCTAAAAGTATTCCACTGTTACCATAACAGTTTTGTACTTTAGTTTATGAAAAGGTGCTAAGTTCTTAGATAGAGTGGAAAAAGGAATCAGGCTAGGCAAGCCAAGGGTGTACTCCCTATTCAAAAGAAGCAGATAGATGAATATGATGCCGTTTCCATAGGAAAATCCATAAGCATGAGGGTGGGATTCTTGAGATGACCTCAAATATGGAAATGCAGGGGTAGGACTATAAAAGACTGCCTTGTAGAGGATGGAAATGGTTTTCCCAGTTGCAGATTATAAAACATCCAGAAAGCACATCTAAGTTGTTGAGATATGTCTTAAAAAGTACTGTCCTCTGAAAGCAGAACATCTGCTTCTCTTGCAAATTATTTCCTTTCTCTCACCCATAAGAAAAAGAAAAACAAATACTTTCTTTCCCAAAGTAGAAGATTTGACATCAACAAAACCTAGCTTGAATATATGTCTGTCTCCTCTTCACATGGAAAATTGGTTAAAAGAAGTGATGAGAACTTCTAGTGGAATTATTTTCAAAAGGATCCACCTAATATCTTTAATCACCATAGGAATGGCATATTTGGGGACTATTTCTGGCTTTTCACTCTTCCAAGTAAACTCTAAGTTCATTTTAACAATTTCTGTTGGAATGGGGGGTGGGGGTTTGGTTTGCTTTTTAAAAAAAATTTTTCCCCGCTATTTATTTATAAAATTCGAATGCAAACTTGAACAAATTCTTTCAATTTCCCTCACCCCACACCCATCAAATTGTACACCCCAGTGATTAATTCTCCCTCCCCCTGCACATCTACATACCTCTGCTTCCAGTTTCGTTTGAGAATTGATATCTGTAAAATTAGAATCTTCCTATCCATAATGTCCCTCTCTCTTTTCAAGGTTTTTTGTTTGTTTGTTTTCTATAAAATACCTATTTATTTTCCATATAGAACATCTAAAATTTTTGCCAGGCTTATTCCTGTTGTTAAAGTTAATGCATATTTTTTCTTCTTAGTATTTTGTAACATAAGGACTTTCTTTTGTCTTTGAACTTGATCTTTGAATGGCAGGTGTGCACTGGGGCTATGAGGAAACCAAGACTTTTCTCGATATCCTCCACGAGACTCGGTTTTATGAAGCCCTTCAAGCCTGTCATCGGAAGAGCAAATTGTATGGTGCTGTCGCTGAGCAACTGCGAGAGTGTGGCTTCTTCCGGACTCCAGAGCAGTGCCGGACCAAGTTCAAAAGCCTACAGAAGAGCTACCGCAAAGTGAAAAATGGTCACGTGCTCGAGTCTTGTGCTTTCTACAAGGAGATGGATGCTCTGATCAACTCACGCTCATATGCCCCTCCTACTAACACCTTGGAAGGTGTTCCATCGCCCTCAAGACAAGAAAGAGGGAGTATTGAGATTGAACCCCAGGAACTGACAGACTGGGAACCTGAGGAGACCTCGCAGGAGGCAATTATAGAAGATTCTGGTAGTGAGAGAATGAGTGAGGAGGAAATTGGCGAAGAGCCAGAATTCCAAGGACCTACAGGTCAACAGCAAAGCCCAAGTGGTAAGGATCACCATGGGGTTTTAATAAAAAAAATGGAAGCAAATGTGATTTATTGAAAAATTTAATGTTTTTTTGACATCACCCATAACCATCCATTCAAGAAATATTTGAAGACCAAGCCCTATTTGAGAACCACAGGACTTAGAATTAAATGACACAACATCCCAGTTCTCATAGGTGCTTCCTTTAAAGAGCTTACATTCTGATGGTATCATCTTTGGAATCTCAGCATCAGTTTTTGTCTCTATAGCTAGGACAATTTCTTGTAACTTGTGGGAATACTGAGGCGGGGGCAGGGAGACTATTCTGGGCCTGAGTTCCACCTGCATCCTTCCTACTAGATAGTACCACGTAGACATCTTTCCAACAGCTCGTACTTAAGAGTGTTCAAAACTAAACCATCTTTCTTCCCACACGGTAGCTCTTCACAGTGTGTACACACACACACACACACACACACAGCTCATGCATACTCACAACTTTAGAGATTTTCATAACTCTTATTCACTCCTCATTTTCGTCTTGCAAAATGGGATGTTTTAGCAGCTTTTATACTCACTCTGTCTTCCCCCTCTTCAGTTACATAGCCATGACTCTAGTTCTTCAGGACGATCATTTACTGAATGCAGCACTACTCAGAATGAGTAGATACAACTGCAGATATACATTAATAATCAGAAGCAAAGAATGTACAACACATGAATGTAGGAAACTTGAAAATTGTGATTTGAATGAGTACAGTTCATGTGTGTGTCACAGCCACAAAAAGTAAAGTGAAAGAAACGTTTGAGGGGAAAGATAGAAATATTCTTGGGTAGATAGCATTAGATATTGCTGCATTTAGAGACCTCTTCAAAAATTTGGCCTTAATCACTACAGTCTCGTTACCTTGAGTCAATAATGTCAACTAAAAACAGCCCCGTGAGAACTGTCCATAGGGATTTTCTGGGCCATCATCTCCCTGCCAGCAGGTCACCAGCTTCTCTTCTGTGGTTCTGCAGGGTTGCCTCAAACTGCCAGCCTCTGGGTTATTAGTTGAATGCAAGCTGTTTGTACCACCTGGGGACCTATGGATCCTTGTAGACCATATTAATTGGGTTATGATAATAAAGGGGTTGTATGACATTTTTGTCTCTTTGCTTTCCCTTCCCTTCAGATTTTGAAATTGGATATAGCGTGAAGGAAGATCCACCACAGACAATATATAAGGACATGGAGCAGCATAAAGCATTCATTGAAAAGTCTCAGAGAGTTATTTCCCAGAATACTGATCAAGGTAAATACCACAAAAGGGAATGCATCTCAGGAAAACAGTGGGGAAACCCTAAAGACATTCACCAGGGCAAGCTGGTATCTCAGCCTAGAGATTTAGGGAAAGCTACAATACACCAGAGGTCTTTCATAGCAAAGAGGCCGTACAGACTTCTCAAATACGGAGAGAGCTTTGGAAGGAGGGCTCATCTTATGTGCAGGATGACCCATCAAAAGGAAAATCCCTGTAAATGTAGTTTCTGTGGAAAGTGCTTTGGTAGAAGCAGGAGCCTAATGAGACACCAAAGAATCCACACAGGAGAAAAACCTTTGACGTGTCTTGACTGTGGGAAGAACTTTAATGATTCCTCAGACTTCAATGCCCACCAGAAAATTCACGAGAGAGAGAACCCCTACAGGTGTGGAACGTGTGGAAAATGCTTCAGTCAAAGCTCAAGTCTTCTTGTCCATCGGAGAACTCACTCAGGTGAGAAGCCTTATCAATGTGGAGAGTGTGGGAAAAGCTTTACAAACAGTCTTCATCTCAGCATCCACCAGAGAATCCACCCAGGGCAAAGTCCCTACAAATGTGTGGATTGTGGAAAAAGCTTCAGTAACCGTACAAGTTTTCAAGAGCATCAGCGAACACACTCTGGTGAGAAGTCCTACGGGTATGCCCAGTGTGGTAAACGTTTCGGTCAGAGTTCTGTTCTCACCAAACGCCGAGAGGTTCATATTCAGGAAAAGCTGTCATTCTCTTCGTCTTTTTATTCCCCAGAGAACCCACACAAGGGCAAGGTTGATGAGTTCAGGAAAACGTTTTGATGATCATCTCTTCCTGAATGTCCTGTTACCCTTTTTTACCTTAATCTCATTTTAAAAAAAAAACACAACAAAACCAATCTTTTCTTAGTTCTAAAGTATAAATCCCCAAATGAGCTTGAGAATGTGTAAATGACAAAAAAGCAGAGAGACTTGGCCCTTGTTCTCATCACTGCCTCTAACTTCTGTTAATTTGTTCGTTGCCTCCTGTGTATCCCCACTTCATTTATAAAATGGATAGGACGTGTGATCTGAGTTCAGAACTAAATTCTCCATAGTATGTTGAGGCCACTGATATTAGGTTAATAATTTCAGAAACAGTCAAAATCCTACACTTAACTTTTATATAGAGTGCTCTTGTCTGATTCTTCTAAACCACCATGCCCAGTCTCAGATAGAATAGGGTGCATGGTGTGTCCTATCCAGGGTGAAGTAGAATTGTATTGTTTTAGTACCACTTGTTATCTTCTCGGTTCCTATCTAGATTGTGTCTGATCAATTGATGTATTTTACGTATCCACCTCATACCTCATTTGCTTCTAAGAGGGGAGGAGAGGAGGAAGCAAGGTAGAAACTTGAAACAGCTAATATTTCCAAGAACAGATGGACTCATTGTGCCTTTGTTGGGTCTGATAGGCACCTTACCCTACCTTCAGGGCAGGCTGTTAAAGAGAACAGTCTTTGTGAGTCTTCTAGTTCCTGTTTGTAGAGACATAAACTTAACTATAGAGCACTCTGGTAGTTTATGACAGTAGTCACTGAGTGAAAGTGAAAATATTTTCAGAACACATTTTCTTTGTTTTCTTGCTTATCAGTCTGGGGAAAAAAACCTCTGTGGTAACCCCATGTTTCTATCCCCGTAAATATTGAAGGAAGGTTTCAGACGGTGAGATAGTTAATCCTTTTATGTACATTACAGGTGAAAACTAAGAGTCCTATTCATTTCTGGATGCTCAAAGATGAGGCCAGCGATGTTTATACCTTGAATAAGTAGGCTACACAGAGTAGCTTGGATTTCCAGAGAGAAAAATTACAAGATTAATAGGAAGCAAGGTTAGTAGATAACCAGAATTGGAGCTGTGTGTAGATTATTCTCTTGATCTTCCTTTACCAAGTGTTCTATTATTTAAAGACTTCAGAAGATATTTTGCTTGTTCTAAATATATTTGATTTTTTGTTTTTAAACCTCTTGAAAATGATACCAAGGAAGGTGGGCACTGTGGAACAAAATCCAACTTGTGCTACTAGAATAGATTGTGGCCTGTTGGCATGCAGTTGACTCAGGTAATTATTGATAGGTACTTCTGATTTATGTTTGTTGGAAATGTTATGACTGTTCATGTATGAACAGGCTGGTTTTTCTCAGTCTGAATTGTAGACTTCTGTCAGTAACTAGTGCCGTTAATGTTGGTTGTGTACCCAGCACAGGAAGTTGTGTGTGATGCCTGTAGGCTTGTGCTTAGATTGTGTCAAAGTCCTGGAATTCTGACTCTAGAGAAGATATACATTAAAGAAATCATCACTTAGTAGTATGTACACCGGACTGATAATTCTTTGGAAGCATGGTTCCGGAAAGTAGATGACTTATTCCTGCTGTGAGGTGCTGTCGAGTCACTTCTGACTCCTGTGACCCTGTGTGCAGTAGGACAACACATCGCCTACTCCTCGGCCATTGTCACAATCATTGTGCTGTTTGAACCCACTGTGGTAGCTACTGTCTCAGTCCCCCTTCCTCTCTCTCGGTGACCCTCTGGCATCATTCTGTTCTCTATAAATATTCATTGACTCCCGTTAGATGTATGGTCACAGTGAATGGCACAGAAATGAAAAAGGAAGCAGACTCTGTGTCTTTCGGGAACTTCAAATTCACAGAGAAAGTAATTGCAGTAAAAGGAAATGCCAGTTACTTCTCACTCAGTTACAGGTCAGTAACTCGGGCTTGAGACACTCACTTTCACTTTCAAAAGGGCTCTGAATTGCTTAAAATTGGGTTCTATACCCATCTCTCATCTTTCTAACTTCCCCGGTGACAGAAACGGTTTGGCATTCCATTAAATCTCCAGTGGAGCACACGTTGTACGTCACTCTGCCATCATTAGGGTCAAACTGAGGTGAGCTTGGGGTTCCCCATCTTTATTACTGGCTTCTAGATTTCTTGGAAGTTCCTAACGTGATCAGGGATTTTATTTTACTTGAATTTGTAGTCAACACCATGGAAACAGAAGTCAAGCAATTAAGTAATGTGTTATATTGAGCCAGTCTCCTGCAAAAGGCCTCCTAAATGTGTTCAAAAGCAAAGGTATCGCTTTGAGGACTCAGGATGAAGCTGTGGTTCTTTCCATGGCTTCATATACATGCAAAAGCTGGACAGTGTATAGGAAGACTGAAGAACTGAGGCCTTTGCATTATGGTGTTGACGGTGATTATTGAATCGATGACCTACTGCCGGAAGAAGGAAAGTCTGTCTTCAAAGCAGCACAGCCGGGAGTGCTCCTTAGAAGGAAGGATGGCAAGGTTTCACTGTACTCGCTTTGGCTGTCTTATCAGGAGGGAAACAGCACGTCCCTGGAAACAGACATCATGCTTGGTCAAGTAGTGGGTCTCTCCCCCTCTCAGAGAGCTGGATTGACAACAGTGGCTACAGCCGTGGACTCAGACACAGCAGAGATTGTGAGGATGGTGCGGAAGCTGGCATTATTTAATTCCATTGTATGTAGGATCACTGGCAGTCGGACCAATCTGATAACACGTGGTAACAGAACTTATTTTAAATAGTGAATGGGCTGTTAGGACGTGTATTAAATTGAATCCAAGAACTTTGTGTTTAGAAGGAATACAAGGTTCTAGCCACCTTCGTAGACCAAAGCTGGAACAAAAAAAATGAATACTCATTGTCTTATTAATGTGTATTTCAGATCACATAGAGTCCGTGAGCTGCACCAATGGTTTATGCTGAACTACTGTTTACTAACTTGTGGGCAGTTTTGAATAGGTGCTTCTGTGAGGTTAAACCCGCTGTTGTGTAGTCCCTTCCACTCAGAGTGACTGAAAGCTCTTTGGAACACAGTTCTACTCTCTCGCAGAGTAGGACTCGGACACACTGGAGGGTCTTTGCGACTTGGAAATGACTTACCAGCAAGGAGTCTGGACCCGTTTGACATTCTTTTGTTTCTTTTTCTTTGCTACATCACATGTCCATAAGAAAAAGTCCTTCATTCAGTCTCCCCTCTTCCAGCTCTCAGTACTAGAGAAAACTCTAGGATTTTTGTTTGTACATTTTGGGGTGTGATTTTTTTTTTTTATTTACAAACTGATTTGTTGGTTCTTTTATAAACTTTTTTTTTTCTAACAAAAAAAATCACTTCCTGGTTTCTCTGTTTGTCCTGGATGCTGGAAAACTCAGCAAAACTTAGTCTTCCTCAACCAACTACCTAGAATCATGCTTTACTTAGTTTTCTCTTATTTCTTTCAAAATTATCTCAAGTCCTATTTTTAGTGCATTTTATAATCTTTGTGTGTGTGTGTACTGTCAAACCGGATCTGAAAGGTACAGGAGGAGATTGTCCCTCCTTCTCCAGCAGAGCATCTGGTGGATTCAAACCATGTACCTCTGGGATTGCAGTGCAGCTTCTTGCCACTAGGCCACCAGAGCTCCCCACAAATCCTATTTTTGAATAGTATAAATAAGCATACATTTTATATCCTGACTTCTTAACCATGTTGGAAACTAGTTTTCTACTTTTTGCCTAGATTTGCTTTATTACTCCCACCAGACCTCCGATTTTTACTAGTGATTATATTACACGTACAGCATAATTCATTCCTCTAGAATGTGTTCCCTTTTTAAAAAGGGGGTGGGAGGTTTGACACATAAATCAGGACAGCTTCTGTGATAGGTGAACAGTAGACTGAAAGCCAAAAGAGAAAAGTTCTAATCTTGACACTCCCACTTAACTGTATAGGTGTTTGACAAGTTGTGGGCTCTCTTCTGTCCTTAATTCCGTCATCTGAAGATGAGTTGAACTTGATGGCCAAGACTGCTTGGGTTCCAATGTCACACGGTTGTGACCGCGTGGTGGAGATGAGGAATGAGTTCAGTGATGAGGCTGTCTGGCCTGGGTAGCCTTTGCGTGCAGCATCTGGGCCATACTGAGCATTCACATACTTTAGCAGGAGAGAAGCAGTAACAGAGCAGTCACAGTAAAGGCCAGCAGTTTGCTCAGTAAGTAGAAGGAACAAATCGCTGATGTTAGTTAACAGACAACCTCAAAACACCTTAGTCGCCAATGCAGATAGCTTCAGTGAGGAAAGTTTATTTTGTGAGGTGTGGTGCCCAGTGGAACTTAACAATGAGGGAGCTAGAAAGCCCTTGTGGAAGGAGTGTCTGGGTAACTTGCTTGTGTTGCTTCTGTCTTGAATGCCTTCCAAGATAGGTTTGTTTGTTTTGGTTTTTTTTTTTTTTGGTCTTACTGATGTTAATAATTGACTTAGATGTCTCCTTGAAGACTTGTCTGTGAAATAAACACCTGGAATAAATGGCTGCCATTGGTTTCTGCCATAATGTGAGGCTGTCTTTCCTTTTTATTTTTTAAAAACTCTTCATTTTAATTGTGATTTTAGCAAAAGTTGCCAGAAAAGTTGGATTTTCATTCATTCATTGTTGCACGTTTTCCTCCCTCTTCCTTCCCCCTCCCAGTTCACTTATTTAAAAAAAAAACACAACCCAAACAACCATTAATTGTTGCACAAAAAAGATGTCTTTTAAAGGGAAATAAAATTTACTCAAGAGGTTACTAAGAGCTGACCCTAGTAGCTAATAAAAAAAATTAAGCATCATTTCCATTAACTGCTGTCCCTCACAACTAAACAGGGTTTGTGTACGTTCACAGCTGTTTCTGTGACAGGGGCCACTGCCAAACCTCAGACAGTGGCAGCGTGTATTCCTAGTTGAAGCACCATCTGGCACAGTGGAACCACCTTGACCATTTCCCCGAGGTCGCAGTGCTGCTCTTTATTTACTATTGTGATAGAAAGGCAGACTTCCAGTGGCTTTTACATAGCTTTTCTTATCATAACACTTCCAAATCCATGGATAGCGATTTGGTCACTTGCTGCAATATCTTCTCCAACAATACTTAGAAACTGTAAGAAACTAATCATCCACCATGGTTTGAGAGAGAGAGAATAATTGTTGTTGTGATTGCGTACGGCTGAGTCAGAACTGACCCATACCTGACCTGCCAATGCATTTTCAGAAGCAGTAAATTGCACGGGAGGAGATTGCCCATTTTTCTCCCATGGAGCAGCTGGTGGATCCGAACTGCGTACCTTTGCATTGGCAGCACAGATCCTTACCAGAGCACTGTAAATACTGACTTTGGCACTGGGCTTTAAGCTTACCTAGACTCTAGTGAGCTAAGTCCTATCCCTGGACTTTGGCTTCCTCTCCAGCAGCATGTATTTCTGAAATGAAATGCAGTGGACACATGGGAGAAACACTAGCCTATTTATTTCAGAGCTAGGTTGGTAGATCAAGAAGCAAGGAAGTGCTCAGGTCACAGAAAGTCCTCTCTGCAGAGGAGTCAAAGAACAAGAGAGAAGAAACAAAGGGGTCAAGGAGAGTGAACTAAGGCACACAGCAGCCCCCTCTTCCAGTAGTTTTTCTGTCCTTGAGACCTTTCCTATGAGGAAGAACCTGTTTTCCACAGCCCTCTGGCCATATGCTGTAGGCTGAAGTCTCTGTTGAATGCAGAGGAATGCAAAAGGCCTAGCATGTGCTTGGCACTTAGCTGCAGTCTGTCTATCTGAGCGAGGCTCAGCCCTGGGAAGCAGGTCAGTTGTTCCTCCAGGCTCTGCCCTATTGGAAATGTAGACGCTCTCTGCATTTCCTATAGCTGCATTCCTGGACAGGTCACCCCAGGCCCCAGGGGCAGCAGGAGCTCCATCTCAGCTTCACCGTCCTTTTAGGATTAGACGAGTTTTCTCATCTCCAATGAAGAACCTGTAGGAAAGACAGCTCAGTAAGGTCTCTGAGAGTCTCGGGGAGAGACCCAGTCCTCCACCAAAGGTCTGCGGGCCCAGAACACTCCTGAGAGATGGCTTCCAGAGTCTTTCCAATCTCACCTAGATTCCGCTTGGGGAGAGAAAACCAATGTTTCCTGGTTTGATTTCCCACCCTTCCTGAAGATGCTCCTACCTACCGTTCTAAAAGCGGGAGATGCAGAATTAGTAGCAGTCATATTTTTTGGTGAAGTCGCAGGTTAGGTCATGAAAGGTGTGGGACTATAGCTGGGCAATGACACAAGCTGTCTGTATCAGCTAAGCTTCGTGTCTGTCCTACCCTAGACTGTGACAAGCCCAACCTGTACCAAGTCCATGCCCTGAAGGATGGACTGGCTGGAGCAGTAAGAACAAGACCATAAGGTTCATAAGAGAGCCAGGTAGTGCAATAAAGGGAGACTCTGCTATTTTATTTTTCTCCACAGATTTCACTTAGCTTTCTAGTAGAGTGATCCTAATGATCTGTTGCACAACACTTTAGAGACCCTCTTCACCTTACGTTTTGTGCAAATGGCATCCCCTTAATGTGTATGCCTTTGGACACCATCTATACAGTGTCCCCTTTGAATGGGAACCAATGGAGTTGTACAACACTCCTGTGGGGAGCCAGCCTTTCCACTCTCCAAACAGTGGTTTACTTAAAGTGGCCTCACCCCCCACCCCAGAAGGCTCACACTCTTAACTTAGCCAGTACGAGTACTGAGTGATCTTTGCCTCTGCTAGAGAGTCTGCTTGAGCTTTAATCTCACATGGAATAAGGAAGAGCCTGGGAGAACAAAACCAAAGACTGAGACAGCCTGGTTGGAGCTCCCACTGGAAACTCGTGCTACCTGCAAACTTCAATTACATGGACCAACCACTTCCACTTCATGGCCTAGGCTCGAGGTGGATTTTTGTCATTTGAAATCAAATGTCCCAGAGAGAGATTCTTTGCCTATTAAAAAGGCTCCCTCTCTTTCTCCAAACTCAAGTGAATGCCCAACCCTGTAACCCTGGGGCTCCTCACCTGATGATAAATCCTACAAACAGGCCGGCCAAGAGCGGGCCCACCCAGTAGATCCAGTGATAGTCCCAGTAGTTGGCAACCACGGCAGGTCCAAAGGCACGAGCAGGGTTCATGCAGGCTCCAGACACGGCGCCCCTGTCAACACCCAGGCACATTGGTCAATGAGGTCCCAGCCAGGCCTTGATTGATCTCAAGTTTATTTCTTCAGCGAGGCATGAGTAACACGTGATCCAGAAATCATCCTAAAATACCTTCTCATGGGCCCAAAGGTGGATCACAAAGAGGCTCTTTGCACTAGAGAATGAAAAGTTTGACCTCCTTGGGTATACAAGCTGCCACTCCCCACACACAGTTTTTTTGCCAAATGACCAGCAAAGAATGCTTGTTTGGTGATGTCACTAAGAGAAGATGGAACTAAGGCCTCTTCAAAATCTATAAAGCCCTGCGAACTTTGTGAACTTTGGAGTTACAGCGCGTCCTAGATGCAAAGCCCTGCCCAGCTATTTATAGCTCTATGGCCTGTGTGTAAACTTGAGGGTAACTCCTCATTGGTAAAAATCGGCTAAAAGTCCTTATCTCACAGGTTGTTGTCAGGAGTGAATGAGAAAGTGCCTTTATAGGCTGATGCCCACATACAAGTCACTTCCCATACAATATCTGTTAACTACTGTCTAGCTAACTCACACTGAGGTCTTATTGCATCCTAAGCCTAGCATCCTCTGTGGGAGACTCCTCCCAAGTGCACCTTTTCTAGTTTCACCAGGCTGAAAATCCTGCAATTCTCCACCCCATCCTAGCTATGCCCAGTGGCCAAAATGGAAAAGGTCCAACAGGCTTGTGAGTGAACTAGAAGTCACGAGAGGGTAGCAAAGTATTGCTATAGCTTTATGCATGCATTTCCCCAGTGTTCCCTCGACTTCACCTCCTGAAAACTTGATGGTAAACCTGCCCCAGGAAATGGCTAGACTTGGTTCTATGCCCCAACGCATGGAAGGGGTTGGACACTAGAGAGGGGCCTACTTGTCCTTTCCTGTCCCACATCTATAAATTAATTTTCTACTGCACAATGGCACTTCCATCCACTCTGGGCTTCGGTTTCGTCATGTATAAAGTGGGAAATGATCCCCAAAATACTGTCTTCTTAACTCTTCCTCATGTCTGTGAGAAGCTGGAGAATCAACGAGGGGTATGGATGTTCTTCAAAATCGGGAGATAAAAGCTGGCTGCCCACTGGCTGGCTGGACACGACAAAAACTGGGAAACTTCATGTAAATAGTATCTGTCTTTCTGGCTTTCCTTGAACAAAACTGGAGAAAGAGTCACTCCAGTCCCACCCGCATTCCCATCCAACAGCAATTTACCAGGGCTAAGTGGTAGTGCTTCTGTAGACACCAGCGCCCTCACCACTTCCTGCTGCTGAACAATGCCAGCCAGCGTCCCTCATTTGTACTGCCTTCCGGGCCCCTGTTGGGAACTGAACCTGGATCCTCAAGTGATCTCTGAAGGCCTGGTGTCCTCGAGAATGGAGACTTGGCCATGCTTGGGCTCTATCTGCTTTCCCTCAGAGCCTTCTCACAGTCCCACAGCCAAGGGAAGGAAGCTCACCCAGCCAGGATATCCACGATGACAGAGAAGCCGATGGAGAAAGGGGCCAGAGGGCCCTTGGTCTTCTCGTTGATGGCGCCCATGCACACAGCCAGAGCCAGAAGTGTTGTCATGATGAGCTCTGCCACCACAGCCCCTGCCACCTGCCTTTGCTCCTGGACTGTCACAAAGGCTGCCCCCGAAGTGTTCCGAAAACTTTCCTCGCTACTCACTGCCTGTGGAGAGAAGCAGCTCAGGCTCATTGAGGGGGGCCAAGAAGTGTCTGGGAGCAAAGGGGAAAGGGCCTGTATGCTTGCCCCTCCTTCAGAACCAACGCAGAGATAGAGTCAAACATAACTCATCCCTCTACGTGGACATTTTTGAGTTCCCATTCCTTCACTCCCACTTTTCACTCTGTGGCTGTATGAGCCTCATTTTATGCAAGATTGGTTATCACCCAGCAGAGGCTCCACATCTTGTGGGCCTTAGAAAACTTAGATTTCCCTGAGTGAGGAAAAGGAAGTACAAGAATAGCCTCCTTTTGTAATGAATGTATGCTAATGGTAGAATAAAAATGATTTGGCTGCATAACATGAAGAATGCAATTAGTACTAGTGAATTATACACGTAGAAACTGTTGAAATGGCAAGGGAGGGGGGGAAATGAAGGAAAAAGGAGGAAATAAGAAAAGCATCTTACTTTTACAAATCATACAACCATAAACTTAGGGGTTTTTGAGGGGAAGACCCTCTATGAGGTGGATTGATTCAGTGGCTGGGGTAATCGGGATGGGTGTGTCAGGCACAGTGCAATTGGCACAGGACAGAGCAGAGTTTAGAGCTGTTGTGCATAGGGTTGCTATGAGTCGCAAACGACTCGACAGCATATAACAACAACCATATCAATGCTCATGCTCGGGAAGGACCTGTGTAAGGAGAAGCTAGGGGCACACTGTCAACCCCTGTCCCCAATTATCTTCCTCTCTTCAACTGACCCTCTGCTTTCCCCAGCATGATGTCCTTCTCCAGAGAGCCCCTCCTCCTGACAACTTGCTCAAACTGCAGCTTTGTTCTTTTGGCTGTCTAGAGCTCTCATGTCCTAGTGGTAAGGAGTTAAGCTGTTGACCCTAAAGGCAGGCCGTTCAAATCCACCAGCTGCTCAGTGGGAGAAAGATGGACGATCTCCTCTTGTACGATTTAGAACTTCTGAAAATTTGCCGGAAGCCTCCCCACCCCCACCCCCGCCCCAGATACATCCCTGCAGAAACCCACTCAGAACTGGGGCCACCAGCTCAGTACTCTCGGGGACACCCACCTTGGCCAAAGCAGCCCCTATCAGTCCCCCACAGAGCTGGGAGATCCAATAGGGAAGAAGCAGCACCAGGTTGAGTCCTCCACTCAGCATAGCCGCCAGGGACACTGCAGGGTTGAAGTGACCGCCACTGAAACCAGGAAGAGCAGAAGGAAGTCATTAGGCCCAGGTTTAGGGCTGACACAAGGGCTGTCCCCTCATGGGAACATATCCCAAACAACTACTCAGACTATCTTTGCAGAGCCAGAACCAATCAAAAGGGACCCAGCCCACCTCCAAATAAGTACCGCATCTCTCTCATTTTCCTGAGATTCTCTGAACCCAGACCCCAAGATAGTGCTACAGCAAAAAGCAGGCAAAGCCTGTTTTTTTTAAAAAAGAAAGCTATTCATCCTTTAATTGCTTGCAAACTCCCTCAGCGTTCCCTTCATTCCTTCAGCAATATCAACAGAGTACAAGACAGGGGCCAGGCTGCATTCTCAGAACCAGATAAAAATAAGTAAAAGTTTATTTTAAAAGGGTGACCCAACAGAGTGTGAAAACTATAGAATAATATCATTGATTTCACATGGAAGGAAGATTCTGCTAAAGATTATCCAAAAACGACTGGAATAGCACATCAGCAGAGAACTGCCAGAAGTCCAGGCTGGGTTTCGAAGGGGTCGTGGCACTAGGGATATTATAGCTAATGTTAGATGGATCTTAGCTGAAAGCAGGGATTACCAAAGGAATGTCTATCTGTGCTTCATTGATTATGCAAAGGCATTTGACTATGTGGACCATAACAAACTGTGGCTGACTCTGAGAAGAATGGGAATCCCAGAGCACTTGATCATGCTAATGCGAAACCTATACTTGAACTAAGAGGCAGTCATCAGAACAGAGCAAGGAAACACTGCATGGTTCAAAATTGGGAAGGGCATACGCCAGGGATGTGTCCTGTCTCCCTATCTTTTCAACCTGTATGCAGAACAGATCATCCGGGAGGCTGGGCTCTATGAGGAGAAATGTGGCATCAGGATTGGTGGAAGATCTATCAACAATCTGTGTTATGCAACTGACACAACCCGCTTGCTGAAACTGAGGAGGACCTGAAGCACTTGCTGCAGAAGGTCATGGACTGCAGCCTTCAATATGGATTGAGGCTCAAAGTCAAGAAGACAGAGATTTTCACCACTGGACCAATTGGCAGCATCAGAATGGATGGTGAAGAGATTGAGGTTGTTCACAGCTTTAGTCTGCTTGGCTCTACAATCAACACTCTTGGCACCAGCAGCCAGGAAATTAAAAGACATATTGCAATGGGAAAGTCTGCTGTTAGGGACCTCTCTAAAGTACTGAAGAGCAATGGTGTCGCTCTGGAGACTAAGGTGTGTCTGATACAGGCCATGGTCTTTGCAATCACTTGTTATGCATCAGAGAGTTGGACAATGACTAAGGAGGATAGAAGCGGAATTGATGCCTTTGAGCTTTGGTGTTGGAGAAGAGTACTGAGGGTACCGTGGACTGCTAAGAAAACAAATAGATTCATCCTGGAGAGAGTTAAACCAGGCTGCTCCTTGGAGGCAAGGATTCTGAGGCTTAGTCTGACATACTTTGGGCATGTTGTAAGGAGGGACAGGCCCTTAGAGAAGGACATGATACTTGAGAGGGTGGAGGACAAGCGCAGGAGGGGAAGGCCCTCTAGGAGATTGATTCGGTGACTGGAGTAATCAGCATGAGTGTGTTAGAGACAATGAGATTGGCACAGGACAGAGCAGAGTTTAGGGCTGTTGTACATAGGGTCGCTATGAGTTGCAAGTGACTCGATGGCACATAACAACAACATATGTGAGTATGAAAAGAAAAGTAATCAGGTCTTGATCAGGAGCTGTTGATTGACTGTTCAGCTAACAAAATTGTAATATCCCACCTGAGCCTAAAAATTGAGATTATGATTGAGTGCAAAAAGAGAGATTCTATGAAGAAGGAGAGAGGGCGCAAAAGGGAGGGACGGAGAGAGGAAGGGAGGAGGGAGGGAGGGAAGAGGGGGAAGAGAGAGAGAGAGAGATATTAGGGATTCTGGGTGGAAGTAGGATTGAGACTTCTGACCATAAAGTCAGAATATCTGGACATCAAGGATTGGGATCTAGACTTTGGGATAGAACTGGACTATGTCAAAATTTGGGATTCACCATCAAGAGGAGCAGGCCAGCTGACTGATTACTCATGGTTAGAAGCTGCACTGCAATCCCAAACGCATGCAGTTCAACTCTGCCAGCTGTTTGTTGCACGGGAGAAGGATGGGCAATCTCCTCCTGCATAATATACCACCTCTGAAAACTCACAGAGGATCAGCTGTGGGTCAGCTCTGACTCTGCAATTCACAACAACCACAATGGTTAAAGAGCCTTTCTTTCCACTAAGATGCTCAGCCAACCCACATCCCAGAGCCAGGGATCCCCCAACTCCTTGCTACTCCCTAATATTTTATCTAGTTACATTTTGATGGGAGAACTATCCTCAGAGATTAGCTCTCTAAATCCCTCAGGTCCATTGGGAATTTCAAAAAATCAAAACACACAAGAGTGGTTGCTGTTAGGCAGGAACAATGATTTTTGAAAATCACTGCCTACCTTGGGAGAGACTGGAGAGCATTATGTTAAATGAACTAACTCAATCCCGTAAGGACAAATGCTATATAAGACCATTATTCTAGAAATGGAAAGGTAACTAGTTAAAAATGTGTATGAGGACCCAAGAGGGGAGGGAGAGTAGGAGCAGAGGAGTGAGGATAGACAGGGAGGTAATCAGAGAGTTGCACAATTTGGTGGGTAGAGGGAGGGGTGGGCAAAGAAAATAGGAAGGATCTAGTGTGAAAAACAATGTATACAAACGTTTTTAAGTAAACCCATATAAAATAACAAATGGTTGCTGTTGAGTTGATTCTGACCCACAGGGATCCCTATATAAAATCAGGGCTGTGTTCCATAAAGTTCCTGATGGCTAATAGTATAGTCTGAAAGTCAATTGCATTGTATTCTTTTGAGCACATTAACTACTGTAACACCCAGGGACTCTTCAGAAGAAAGTGACTCAAGGTCTCTCATGTCACAAAAGAACACAAGATCTCCCCAAATATTAAAAGCCCATTAACAGGCTGTCCAACCCCAATAAACCCTCTGCTGAAGCTGGCCAGAGGAACTTAGTGCTGGACAAAAAGGGGGGAAAAAGGACTAACACTTCACCCAGCCACCTTGACATCCCAGGACTAGCTGCCTCTGATTTATCAGGCCCGGCCCAATAACTTAGGCCCTGGGGTAGGCTTCACGAATCACTGTGGAAGTACCAGCTGATGCTTTGGCTCAAGAAATAGGAGTCAAGAGATAGCCAGTAAAAGGGATCAGTGGGTCTCAACTCAAGTTTTTGATCAAGGTTAGCTTATCTCTGCCAAAGCATAGAGAGGGAGTTGCAGGTGGGTGTCACTGGCCTTTCCAGTAGTCTATAGTTTTAGGAATCTCTCAGGAAGCCCAAGCGGAGAAGAAAACCAAGAACAAACCCAACTATTATCCAAAATATGGTTCAGCCTTCAGGTTGAAAGACCACATCTAAAGACCACATATATTCCTCAGACTAGCTTCATACTCAGTAACAGAAATTAAAAAAAAACAAATGAAAACCAACCCATCCTTTTCTAATTCACTCTTCAAAAAAAAAAACACATTTCCAGGTACTATGTGGGATGCTACATAACTTGTCTCGAATCCACTCAACAACTTTGTAGGTATTCAATAACTATTTGGAAGAGTGAATGATTGGGGGAAGGAGTGGGCAGGGAGAAAAGTGAAACAACGAATGAATGGAAATCCAAAGTCTCTGTAAACTTTCATTAAAATTAATAATGTTGTTGTTAAGTGCCATCGAGTCACAGCCGACTCATAGCAACCCTGTGAAGGAATGGAAATCCAAAATCTCTGTAAACTTCCATTAAAATTAATAATAAAAAAGAACTAGAAAAAGAAAAGAGTGAAGGATTGAATAAAAGTTTGCCATTACAGAGAGGCAACTAGCCTGCAATACAAAAGATGTGGTCTCTCTCTCCAGTCAGCGGGCTTGGCTCAAACCTTAGCTCTGCCACTAACACAAACCAACCATGTTCTAGATCCTTATGCTGATTCTCCTGAGGACCCTCTAAAGTCCCAACTGCAGCAGCAGAAAAGGAAGGAGGAATCCATCCTCCCTTCGCCCAGCCTCTTTTCCTGCTCACCCTTAAGCAGGCTGGGATACTGCAGGTGTGTGAAAACCCCTCAGTCTGTCCTTCTGCACATCCTCTCGAGAGCCCCTAGGCTGGAGTAAAATCCCCAGTCTTACGATAACCGTACCAGTGGACGCAATGTTGACTCTATGTTGACCTAATGTGTATGAAGATCTTGACCCTACTGAATTCTTACGGCTCTCTGACGTATATGGGTGCAGGTGCTGCAGTCATTCAGCTAGAGCTCGACGCCTGGTTCTGCCACTAATTAGCCATACAACCATGATCTTTCTCTTCCACAGCTGTAAAATGGGAATGATCACAGTACCCAATCCACACGCTTGATGGGAGAATGAAAAGATAAATAGTTCCTGGTGCTAGGTTAGGTTTACATGTGTGTAGGTTTGAAAGAGAAAATATATTTAAAAAAACAAAAAAAAACACCTCTATTATCTCCTTTGTATAGATGGGGAGGTTAGGGTTTGGGAACTAACTTACCCAAGGCCACAGAGCTCATAGGCTGCACAGAGAAGCTTTAACCCAGGCAACCTTAGCTTCCCACTCCACATTCTTATCTTCAGCACCTCTTGAAATCCTGAGTTTATGCTCAGTGATCCTTGACAGCAGCCATAATTAACCCCAAGCTCTCCAAAATACCACCAGGCTATATGCTTGGTGCTTTTCTCACCTAATATTGCCCAGCGTGGCGATGATGAGGCCCAACGCCAGCCCGTGGGCCAGCGCCGGCCCCAGCACTCCAGTGTACGCATCAGCCTGGATAACGGACAGGCACCCGATGAAGATGAAGAGGGCTGAGCCCAGCAGCTCTACCAGACAGGGCTGCACGAATCGCTCGTACCAGGGCGCCTGACACCGACGACTCATGTCCTGCTCCTTCGTTTGGCCACTGTCAAATCCAGACTCACAAATGGATGCGCCTGCCTGTGGAGGAAGAGAGAGGAAGCAACGGTGAGGGGACAGAGCCAGACAGAAGCCATGACCCTTCCACCTGGAATGAATTCTTAGCAGCCCCTTGGAGAGAGAGGTGCTGGCCTTGGACTCCCTTCTCCCAGACGTCAGACCTGGTCTAGGACTAAACAAGTCCGTTGCCTGAGCTGCTGGAGAGCCTGTATCAGCTGTGATAACCACTCTTATCTCCAAGCCTGAGGCCAACAGCCTCACAACAGGTTCTGCCCTTTTTAAAAGGCTGTAGAAGTGCAGAAAAGGTGCTGGAAAAGCAATAAAGGTGGGAGGTGGCTCTTAGATTCAGAAGTGGAAACATTTAAAAAGAAAAAAAAATCTCCACAGGGCAGGGCCAAGGAGGAGGAGGAGGAGGGTGGTCAATGATTGCAGAGCTTCCTGCCAACGAGGGGAAAGGGCATAGCTTTGTGAAACCACCATCACCTGGGATGGGGCTGCCACAGCACTAGATGGATAACCAGCTCCCCAGCTCCCTCAGCCACTCCTCACTCCCCAAAAGTCACCTGTGTAGGTGGTCTAAGGAGGACCTCATGGGCTAGGATTGCATGTTAATGAAGAGCTTCATCCTCTATTGTTTTCCCGCTGTTCCCTTGGGCATCTCTTCCTAGGAGACTTTAACACCTGGACTCATCCAGAGAACCTGATCTGGAACTGAGTGTGTCAAAAGGTGACCAGTTCGCTCGGGGGTCAGAGGCTGAAGGGACTAGCAAAAGGCACGTGGACTTTGGAAACATGCTATATGAGTTTAAACCCCAGCTCTGCCACGAGCTGGTAATAGAATTGTGAGCCTGTTTACTTACTTCATTATCTCTCTGTAGCTTAGTGTCAACATCTGTGAAATGGGTATTAGCGTGATAGCACTCCATGGAGTTATAGAACTGTTGGGAGGTTTAAATGAGTAGATATATGTAAATGGCTTATTACAATGCCAGAGAAATAAGAATTACTAGGGTTTATGCTTGATTATGAGGAATGTGGAGTGGGGGAGCTCATGGGGTATAAACCATGCCTTGATTTTGAAATTCGGCTGGAAGTTGAGGAAGCATCAGAATGTTCCCAGATGGGCACTTTTTGGGGGGCGGAGAGCCAAAGGGAATGCTTGATTAGGAGGCTACAGCCTTCAGGCCTCGTTTTAATTGGTTTTGGTCAAACATTCTTCTAAATGGTATAGCTCTCGTCTGTCTACTTGCTGCACTTATGGTTGCTGTGATGCTAAACACTGTGACACTGATGCGATAATGGTTACCCATGGTGGACAATGTTTGGTGGAGCTCCCGATTAAAACAAGCTTGGAAGCAAGAATGGCATCCACTTCCGAAACAGCTTGCTCTGAAATAGCATGCCTTCGGAAACTCTATGAACTTGGAGAAATGATAAAAGCTATACAAGTGTTCAGATCTTTCATTCATAGGGTCGCTATGAGTCGTCTACGACTCGATGGCACTTAACAATAACAACACAAATGCAACAATTTAACCAACATTCTGTTCTAAGGAGCACATTGGTTAAAGTACTGAGCTATTAACCTAAAGGTGGACAGTTCGATCCTGGTGTAGGAGAAAGATGTGGCAGCCTACTTCTGTAAAGGTCTATAGCCTTAGAAATGACATGAGACAGTTCTACTCCAGTATATTGTATATAATATTGCTCCTTGTCTCTCTCTAAATGACAATGTAATATAGTTGCCCCACGCCCAGCTTCCCCATCTTTTTCATTCTTTGCCCAAGTCTTGCCAATAGAACCCGTAACAGAAAACCTTCTCCACTCAAAGCAACTTAATCAACGTGTTTCAAAGTAGACCTATGCTCCACAGGGTTCCACTGGCTGTAAGCGTACAGGATCGCTAATTCTGAAATACTGACATTGCATTCTTAAATAACTGTGTTCTCATCGATGGGATGTGTGTGCTCCTGACCTCTGACAACTTTTCTAGCCTTGAAATAAAATTGAGCATTATCTCCTTATTTTTTTTCTTCATATTGATTTTCACGAGATGCTTACTTTTCTCTTAGCAACTGCTGTAAGATCCATTTTGCACAGATATGCTGTCCTTGGGAGGAACTTAGGAACAGCTAATATTAAAACTGTGAATGACCTTCAGCTAGCAGTGTGTGTTGTGCTGTAAAAAATGTACAGAATTATTGATCCTCTCCATTCACAGCCCGTAGAACCCTGAAATTATTAACAACCTCAATCTCTTCATCTGTTGTGGTGCTGCCAGTTAGCCCAGTCATGAGAGTCTTTGTTTTCTTGATGTTGAATTTGAATCCATATTGAAGACCCTGCAGTCCTTGACCTTCTGCAGCAAACACTTGAGGACCTCTTCAGTTTCAGCAAGCAAGACTGTGTCATCTGTATATCTCAGGTGGTTGATGAATCCTCCTCCAGTCCTGACGCCACATTCCCCCTCATAAAGCGTAGCTTCCCAAATGATCTGTTGCACATTTAGATTGAAATGGCATGGAGACAACACACAGTCCTGACACACTCCTTTCCTGATTTTGAACCATATAGTGTTCCCTTGCTCTGTTCTGATGACTGCTTCCTCGTCCAAGTATAGGTGTTGCATGAACACAATCAAGTGTTCTGGGATTCCCATTCTTCTTAAGGTTAGCTACAATTTGTTGTGATCCACACAGTCAAATGCCTTTGCATAGTCAATGAAACACAAATAGACATCCCTCTGGCACTCTTTGTTTTCAGCTAAGATCCAACTGGCATTAGCGATGTCTCTAATGCCACATCCTCTTCTAAATCCAGCTCTATCTCCAGTAGTTCTCTGTTGATGTACTACCGTTCCAGCCATTTTTGGATAATCTTCAGCAGGACTTAGCTTGTGTGTGATATTAATGATGTTATTTGACAATTTCCACTCTCGTGAGGTCACCTGTTTGGGGAATGGGAATAAACATGGATCTCTACCAGTCAGTTATCAGGTAGTTGCTGTCCAGATTTCTCGGCACAAACTGGTGAGCATTATCCAGGACAGCATAAGATAGAATATTTATTTTTTAAAAAGAGAGTAAAGGGGGGAAAAAGGAAGTCATGATGAAATCGCGTGTGTGGTTAGCAGCTGAATGACTCTTATAAAGTGAAAGGAGTCAGAGGACACACTGTGTAACATAAAGTTGTTCCCATTCATAATCAAAAATGATTTATGCTGCTGACCAGAGGGGTGTAACAGGGAAGAAGTTACGTGAGGTCTTGCAATGCTGTCCCCTGCTCTTTCTTGATCTGGATACTGGCTAAAAGAGTGCGTTGATTTTATGAAAAATTATTGTGAGTTAAGATTTATGCACTTCTCTGTACATGCTATACCTTTATAAAAAGTTAAAAATAAGACACATCTATTCTCAGGAAGCTACTGTATGGATATAATCAAGAGGAAATACGTCAGTGAATCCGTGGCGCCTAACAATACGGCATTTGATTACCATATTGTTGGTCATCAAATTTCAACACAATAAAAATTGCCTCAAAATCCAATACCTGAAACTGCTATCAGTAATGTTATTGTTGTTGTTGTTGTTGCTGTTGTGTTCCATAGAGCCAGAACCAACCCAACAGAGTTAGTTAATCACACGAGAGGAGATTGCCCATCTTTCTCCCATGGAGCAGCTGGTGGCCTCGAACCAGGTGCCTTCAGGATTGCAGCACTGCTTCTTGTCATTAGGCCAAAAGAGCTCCTAAATGAGCAAACCTTTCCGCAAATCCTAAGACCCATACTGAGCACTTAAGAAATGTTATTTTACTTATGCCTTCCAGTAATTCTGTCAGATAGGTAGTATCCCATTTTATAAATAAGGAAATTGGTGTTTAAATACTTGGTGCTGCCATAAATGTCATGCATATCAGAATCCAAATCTGTTTGATAACTTCAGAGCCTCTACTTTTAATGGCTGAAAATCGGAAATACTAAAATACGGAAACTCCATATACCTTGATAGAGTGTTGCTGTTGTTATGGGTCATTACGTTGGAACTGACTCTTAGCTGACCCTCCGTTCGATTTTCAGTGGTGATAAAATCTCAGAAGAGAAGGTTACTCATCTTTCTCGTGAGGAGCAGCTGGTGGATCCGAACCCCCTGTCTTTGGGCTGGCAGCACAGCTCCTTGCCACTAGACCTCCAGAAGAGTCTGGTGTTATTTCCTTTGTGAAAATAGATGACTTAAGTGAGAAAATGCTATTCTGGGAAAGAATTAAGAAGCAGATCTTGGCCTTAAATTAAGTTCTTTTTCCAAATTAATTGTTATGTGCCTTCTTAGTCTCTGAAATGTCTTAATTGTTTTTTTATTTAAAATTTTTAAATTTCAACTCCTCATTTTTTTACAGCATATTCTTCCCATTTAATTTCCCCCCATTTATTTATTGTTGCACATTTTCCTCCCTACCCACCCCTCCCCCTTTAATTTGCTTTTCTCTTTGAAAAAAATCTTTCATTGTTATACAATCCACCCCTACCCCCTACTCCCCACAAGTCCACTGTCCACTTTATGCATTTCTTTTTCTGGAATCTTGTCATGACAAGAATACCTAATCATATAATCCTTTTAAACAGATCTCTCCCTCATCTGTTTCAATGAAGTATACATTATTTATCCCTTCTTTTCTTACGTTCTGCCAACCCCAATGTCAGTTCTACTTTACAACCGTGGCACT